CAGAGCCTTGAAAGTCATTATCCCTGCTGGGGAGACTTACAGGGTATGAAAATAGGACAATGAACATAACAAAGCAAAAGAGAAGATTTCACCCTGAAGTGAGTAAGTTAGTTATGCCTCTGAACAGTTCATGCACTCTCTCTTGATAATTCCCTTTCAAATGAAAGAGACTGAGATTGCACTCCTAGAGCCAATTACCTAGGAGAAGTAAGACCCATTGAAGTCACTGGGGTGTACTGAGTAGATAAACATAGGATTTCACTGAAAAGCTGCATAATTACTTGGCAGCCTGTTCCACTGAATCAAATGGGGTTTACTTCTGAGTAGCTTAGCTCAGGTTAGATTTATTAAATTTATGACCCACATCCTACACCAAAAAGTCCTGAAACAAGATCTGTATAGTTAAAGCTATGGTTTACCCAGTAGTGATGTATGGAAGTGAGAGCTGGACCATAAAGAAGGCTGATCTCCGAAGAATTGATGCTTTTGAATTATGGTGCTGGAGGAGACTCTTGAGAGTCCCATGGACAGCAGGAAGATCAAACCTATCCATTCTTAAGGAGATCAGCCCTGGGTGCTCACTGGAAGGACAGATCGTGAAGCTGAGGCTCCAATACTTTGGCCACCTCATGAGAAGAGAAGACTCCCTGGAAAAGACCCTGAAGTTGGGAAAGATTGAGGGCACAAGGAGAAGGGGACGGCAGAGGACAAGATGGTTGGACAGTGTTCTCGAAGCTACCAGCATGAGTTTGACCAAATTGTGGGAGGCACTGGAAGACGGGAGTGCCTGGCGTGCTCTGGTCCATAGGGTCACAAAGAGTCAGACGCGACTAAACAACAACAAGAATTGCACTCAGTCCCTTAAATAATGGCCTGCAAACTGATAAGCAGCATGAAAATTGGAGAACGGCTTACTAAATAAATAAATAAATAAATAAATATTGTATCCTATCATGTTCTTAAGTTGTGTAAGATAGAGCCTTAATCAATATCATGCATTAATTCTGTGTGATCAATACCATGTGCTGCTTGTCTTATGAAGCCCATTTGTGTCCCCCCCCCAAATTTTATTGGCTTTCACAATATTATAAACAAACAAACAAACACACACACACACACACACACACACACACACAAGACAAACAAACATAAATCATAGCCTTATTGAAAATTACAGTTATTAACTTTGTTAAGTGACTTCCTCGCTTCCCCTTAGTTGAATTTCATTACATATCCTTTTAACGGTTTTCCAAATCCCAATTTTTATGAAATTTAACTTAAACATTAACATCCTTAAATCTTCACCTTATATAATTAAACATATTAATTCATCACTTAACATAAACAAAATCCTAAGCCTATTAAGTATCTGCAAGCTATTTCCGGTTAATTTAACTTAACAAATTTAACTAAATCATCATTAAATTTATCCCATTCTTCCTGATATTCCTCCTCCTTCTGGTCACGGACTCTTTCAGTTAGGTCGGCTAGCCCCGAAAAATCCATCATCTTCATCTGCCATTCTTCTACTGTTAGTAATTCTTGGGTTTCTTATGAAGCCCATTTGAGCTTACTTCTGAATAGACTTGCATAAGAACAGGAATTCTAATCTGAGATAGCAATGGTGAAAATTGGAATAGGGCAATCTTTATTCCTGATTAGTCAATCCAGAACACTTTTGTCTCTGATTCTCCCCACCATTGGCATGCAGCCCCACAGAGATTACTCCCCCCTCCTGCCATTGCCACCACCAGGGGAACGTGGTCCCCCACAAAATAAAGGTAGCCCACCTTTGCACTAGAGAAAGCAGCAAAGCTAGTATTTCTACATTGCAACAGTTACTGTTTTGCTCCACTCCTCACCTTGTCTTTTTATTGCCCTAGCTTCTGACAATATGACAATGCATTACATCAGAAAATTATTAATTTCTTTCTACAATTGTAAATGATTACAAAAGCAATAGGAAACAAAGCCGATTAGCATTTAATGGTTTAATATAATGTCATTTTTACTCCCCACTTTCAGGTTAAGTATTTCCAGAATTTGTTTTAGTGTTTTCCATCCTCCTACTGCAGGAAACACTGGAATTTCCCCATTCAATCATGCATCCATATTTTTGACTTCACTGGAGGGAGTATACCACCACTCTTTATATTTTTGGAAAAACAATAAAGTGTACCCAAACTATAAAAAGAACAATCCTGGATATAACCTCTGGCTAGCAGAAGCATTTGTGTTAAATGACCCTGAACCAGGCCCTGGGTCAGTGGGTGCCTGGGGCTACACACACGACATGCGCACATGCGTCTGACGTCAGTATACCCACTGATGTGCATGTGTGACGTCAGCGGGGCATACTGATATTGGACGCACTTGCTGCAGGAGTGCTGACGGAATGTGATGGGAGCTGGAGAACTCAAGACCAGGTGCCTATGACCCCAAACCACACTTTTAGGTAACAATGTTCTGTTGTATTTTGAACTTTCTTTTTTCTAAGTTTAGTGTGCTCATTTTTATTTCCTCTGGCAGTTACAGCTACAGGGAAGTGAGATATTGATTGAGTTTGGGGGGTTGAAATGGGTAGTGTCAGCCTTGGCTGACAAATGAGAACTGAAACCTTTGTGATGTGAGCTAACTTCCCCATCAAAACATGTATAGAGGGTTCTGTTATATTAAGAGCTACATTGGAGACATCCAGCCTGTTATGTACTGAGTTGAATAGGATCCAAACTGCAGCAGTCTGATTGGTCCTAGAACAATAGGATCCAAATTGCAGCACTCTGATTGGTCCTAGAACAATAGGATTCAGAATGCAGCAGTCTGATTGGTCCTAGAACAATGCAGCAGTATGATTGGTTGGCAGGAACCACCCAATCATGCTCCAGATATAAGTGAATCCACAACCTGATTGGCTTACAGTAGAATTCCAGAATTAGCCAATCATGTGCAGCCCATTGTGTAAATAATGTATATAAAGCAGATACTTTGAGGGGACTTTCATTCATTCCTCCTCACCACTATGAGCTGAATAAAGAGCATGAAATCACTTTGCGACTCTGAGTATATTTCACAGCCATTGGAAAAAATATGGACTCTCCTTGTTTGTCTATAGTATAAAGCAGAGCTTTCAAAACTGTGTGTCACAACACATTAGTGTGTCAGCTGCAGTGTGTAAGTGTGTCATGCAAACGCTTCCTGCACTCCTCCCAGGGCTGGAAAGGGGTTAGTTTAACCTCCAGTTTGCTAGTAAAACTGAATTACTGGGTCATGAAATGATGCATGTCTAAAAAGTCTGTCACCAATATGAAAAGTTTGAAAAGCTGTGGTATAAAGGGAAGTCATGCTCCTGCACAAACATATGTATCAGTTTCACCTACTTGTTGGTTGCATACACACTATACTGGACCTTTAAAGCACATTCAAAGCACATTTCCCCCCTCAAAGAATTCTGGGCATTGTAGTATCCCTCATGAAATTACAATCCCAGCAGCCCTTAACAAACACATTTGAAAATGTGTTTCAAATGTACTTTATACACTATGTATGGGTATATTGTTCTAGACCTAATTTCAGGGGGCATGGGGTAAGAAAAAGGGGCAAGTCTTCTTGCACATACATATATTCTTAAGCAGGGCTTCCACTGATGGGACTCCTTATATTAATCCTGCCCATCATGTGTACATGTTAGGAGGGAGCTGACAGGCAACACACTTGGCGTACAGCTGAGAGAAACCAGGTACACAGTGAGCTCCTTTATCTGTTCTTCGCATAGCTTCGCTCTCAAAAGATGGGTGATGGCCACTAACTTTGAAAGAGGATTAAATAAATTCTTGGAAGATAAGCATGATGCCATGTTCTCTGCAATTGAAAGACATTGTGCCATTGTTGGGAATCACAAGTTGGGTGAGTGTACCTCAGGCGGCAGGATCCACAGGGACAGCAGATTCTGATGCAGATCTTTATTCCCTCTCTTTTTCCTGATCTAGATCTTGTGGTAATTATACTTTACAGAGTTTTATAAAACTTAATTTTTATTAAAGATTTTCTTGGTTTACAAAGGGGCTGTCTCCTTATGGGACAGTTTCCAGGTGTATATTACTTTTGTAATTTAAAGCCTGCCTTCTGGGATCCATCTGTGAACAGAATGTGTGAGTAAACTCTTTTTATACTTTTATAGATGACTGTGTCGTGTCTATCTTTTTATGAGGGACTAAATGGGAAATTACCAAAAGGAAAACGTATTTTAGAGGCTTTAGTGAGCCTGAGCAAACGCATCCACTGTGCAAGTTTAAAAAGGGGAATGTTACTCTGCTAAATTGTGGAACTTGTTAACACAAGTTGGAAAGGATATAATCAAACAATATATCCTCTCCTGCATCCCTGAACATTCCCACAAGGTGGAGTCGTTTTCTTTCCCTCCACTTGGAGATATTGAATTCCAACAGCTGAAATCTAAAGCGAGAGCTGAAACTGCCACCTGTCACTCAGGCGGTTGCTCAGTAACGAGGTTCAACAGCTGCCTGCGCAGCGCGCGCGTGAAGCGAAAGCCGCTTCGATCTACGTCAGACCTTCCCCCTTGGTTGCTCTGTTGCCGCTTGAAAACGGCGGCGGGGGCTCAGCTTTAAAAACCGTTCCTCTGATTGGCTGACAAGGGACGTCCGCAGCCCAATACGAGTCTGGGGGCGGGCTCAATGTCGGGCGATTTGACTTGGTCGTTGGCCAGAGAGTTAATGTGCCGTTTTGCCGAGAGGCGTTACCTCACAGAGGCCGCCGCAGCGATAGGCTTGCTGGCAAATCATTCAGCGCTACCGTCAGGCAAGGCGGCCTCGAGAGTTGGAACTCCCGACAGCGGCCGCGCTCGAGCATCCTGCCATTGGCTAATATCCCTTTCGGGCATGCGCGTCGCGGCGAGTCCTGCTCTCCGATAGGTTGCGAGAGGAACCGCGGCGAGAAAGCGACCTTTCGGGATGGGCGGCGGGTGAAGGGCTGGCGGAGCGGCCATGGCGGGAGGGACGAACGCGGCCTCGGGGCGGCCTCGGCTTTGGCGCCGCTTCCTCCTCCTCCTCCTCGGGGCCGTGGTCCTCGCGGTGCCGGTGGGCGGCTCAGGTAAGCGGGCGGGAGGAGGGCGGGCTCGAGAATCGCAGGGGCGCCGAGCTGCGAGGGACGGTGCCAGAATCTCGACTGAGCTGCCTTCCCTTCCCAAGGCAGGTGTTGCATTTCTAGCCTGAAGCGCCCCGTGATCTTCGGATGAAGGGCACCATAGAACATTACTACTAATAAAAATAATTGACACGAAATGTACAGTTTCGTTAAAATGCTGCAAATGCCACCCAAAACTAGACAGCATAATTTATCCGTGGTCTTGTTTGGGAAGTGAAGGCAGAAAGGCGACGTGATTTGTTCCTGGGCTTTGACATAAGAGGCTTTAGTTTGGTGTTTCCCAAAATGTTCATAATTAATTGACCAAAGAATTGGAACTGAGGGACCTAGCTCTATGTGAGACAACTTTATGACAATTGTTATATATGGTAAGGTACTACTACTAATTGTATCCTGCTCATCTGACTTGATTGCCCCGGCCACTCTGGGAGGCTTCCAATGTACTGTATATAAAAACATAAATGTTGTCAGGCACTACGTTTCTGTTATTTACCAGCAAATCTCAAGAGAGCAAACTGGAAATGCCAGAAATGCTTGGCTATGAATTTGGGGTATATTAAGTTTCCTTTAGCTGTAAATGATGGCACTCGTTTACTGGCAAGTGTCAGATTTGAACAGCCCAGGTGAAAATTGTTGGTAAAAGGCAGGATTCACTAAACTTCTGACACTGACAGTGCAGTCCTGTGCCTGCTAACTTGGAAGAAAGTCCAGCTGAATTTGATAAGGCTTCCCCCCAGCAGTGCCATTTCCTGGAGGCGCAGGAAATCAGCGCAGAGTATGATTTTAAACAATTGAAAACAATAGCTTTATCCGCATCTCCAGTGGCTCTAAAACCTAAGTATATTTAACTGTATTGTGCTTGTTTGTTCCTTGCTAATCCTTGCACTTTCCTTCATGCATGCACACACTCCATAGTGAAATTTAGTTTCTAACTTCCTGAGACAGGAACCTTTTTAGTTATTCTGCAAAGCAGCCTTCTCTAACCTGGTACCATCCACATGCTGTTGGACTACAACTCCATCAACCTCAACCTGCATGGCTATTGGTGAGGGATGATGGGCACTGTAGTCAAAAATTTCTGGAGGACACCAGGTTGGGTGCTATATTCATAAAAGTATTCTCCCCCCCCCCCCCCAGGATTCACAAGTTACTTTTTGCATGCTTGTGAATTGTTTGAAATTTCCTCTTTGCCAAGCACACATACGTACTTTTTATAGCGCGTTGCAGAATCTACACAATCAGGTGCTTGCCCTGAGGATCTTAAAATTTCAAATTCAACGTAGGAGAAAAAAACATGGTGGTATGTGTAGAAGGTGCGTGTGTACATGCATGTCCATGAATGTGCAGGCTCCCTCTCATTGTCCACTACGTGTAGATTTTGGGGCACCAAACCCTGTGTTAGTGGCTGCTTTTAAGTTGCCTATTGCAGTTCATTGGTGGGGTATAACTTGTGTGAAAATGAATAGTGATGTTTTGGAATTTTTTGTGTCCTCTTGCTAATACTGCTCTCGGAAATAGTGCTTTCTTGGTGTAGGCTAGAGAGCATCATTCCAGCACCTTACGAATAGACTAATCCTGATCTACATTTTGTATAAAACAACCCAGTTCCCTCAATTCTCTCTTTTTAAAAAAATGATATTTATTAAAATTTCAGAGAATACAAGAATTACACAAAAACAAAAAGTAAAAATACAAGAAAATACAAAATACAAAAAAAGAGTAAAAGACACTTAAAAAGAAAAAAAGAAAAATAAAAATGGATCAATCTTTCCATAACTTACATTCATATCCTTGTTTCCCTGACCTCCTCATACCTCCCTTTTTTGTATTCCAGTTCAATTAGTTAAGTCAGCAATTTCTTCCCTCTTTGTTTTCTCATGATTCTTTAACTTAATATACTATAACTTTAAATTTTCATCTGTTATCAGTCCTTTTTTACCTACACCTTTATAACATTACTGCTTAAACCACCTAGCTTCATTCCAACATCATTCTAACATTCATTAATTTTACAATATTTCTGTAAATAGTCTTTAAAATTTCTTCCAATCTTCTTCCACCGACTCTTCTCCCTGGTCTCGGATTCTGCCAGTCATTTCCGCCAATTCCATGTAGTCCATCACCTTCATCTGCCATTCTTCCAGAGTGGGTAGGTCTTGTGTCTTCCAATACTTTGCAATAAGTATTCTTGCTGCTGTTGTAGCATACATAAAGAAAGTTCTGTCCTTCTTTGGCACCATTTGGCCGACCATGCCCAGGAGAAAGGCCTCTGGTTTCTTCAGAAAGGTATATTTAAATACCCTTTTCATTTCATTATAAATCATCTCCCAGAAAGCCTTAATCCAGTTCCCTCAATTCTCAGGCAGCAACTCTGATTTCAGGCAAAGATCTTGCAAATGTCTTTAACGCAGTCCTTGGTTATTGTTTGAACTCAGTAGATCGAGTGTTGCCTCTTGAAGATCATCGCATGCAAAAAGAGAATTCCTCTAAGCAGTTTTGCTACACAAACAAGGTGACCCCAAAATGGCATGACATATGGACCAGAATTCAGGTAAGAAATGGAATCCTTTAAGTTTCAGGCAGTTGATGAACCTCAGCCGAACTTTCTGTCTGCATACTTGCTAACAAAAATCAAGGGAACTAATCCTAGATTATGTAAATCTCTGTTAAGTAGCTACATGTAGCTTTCATAAAAACCTCCATTGTCTTTTGTTTTTCAGCATACTGGTTGGGAGTGTGTGGTGGATGAACGATATGTGGTGCTGTGTAATGCATTTCTCAAGGCTCAGAATTGGAGCCATGATTACTGTTGAAGTGCTCTACTGTGTTACTGTGAAGCTAGTTTTGTATACAGTCATACCTCATGTTACGTTTGCTTCAGGTTGAGCGTTTTCAGGTTGCATCCTGCAGCAACCCGGAAGTACTGGAACGGGTTACTTCCGGGTTTCGCTGCTCGCGCATGTGCAGACGCGCAAAATGACGTCACTCGCATGCGCAGAAGTGGCGAATCGCGACCCACACGTGCACAGAAGCGGGTTGCGTTCTTTTCAGGTTGCGAACGGGCCTGTGGAACGGTTCCCGTTCGCAACCAGAGGTACCACTGTACAGTATAGTCAAATGTTTTCTCTGTGCCTTCTCATTCTGTTTCAAGTTGTATTATACAGTCGTTAAAATAAACTTTTATTCAAAAGAGCATTCTGTGTTATAGAATGATGTTCATAGGTTCAGGCTTTGAGAAAAATAGATTGTTATCATGGTTGGAGATGAAAGTCAAAGACAAGGTCATCTCTTGGAGCCCCAGTTATGCTGCAGATTGATGTAGCTGACAAATATGGAACCTGTAGTCCTCCAGATACTGTTGGATGATATCTCCCATCATCCCTGACCATTGACTATGCTGGCTGTGGTTGATGGCATATGGAGTGCATCAACATCTAGAGGGCCACAGATTTCCTATCCCTTAGTTAGTTAGTTACTTATCTATCTCTATGGGTAATGCAAACTCTCCATACACTATTTGTGATTTACCCAACTACAGTAATGGTTGGCAGATGTCTGTGCTTTCCCTATTCATTTCACAGTATTTACCAGCATTACATAAACTGAGTAGTATTCTTATACCCAGGTAATGGAATGTTGCATATTTGAGCTCCAATCCTAACCCCACTTAGCTGGGAGTAAACTCTGTTGAATTCAGTAGAATTTACTTCTGAGTAGACAAGGTTAGGATTATGCTGTTAATCTTTCTTCCTTGCTGGGTGCCTTTGTTATTTGTGGGAGAGGGTTGACTATGCAGCTACTGAAGAAGAGAAGTTGGAAAATAGAAAAGATTGGTTGAAAATGGCACGATAGCCGGGGGAAGGGACTTGTGCTGTCATAGGCAAGGTCAAGTAAGTGCTCGCATCACTTTGAACAATGGAGATGCATACTTGTTGCAGCAATGATTGCAGTTACTATCACCAGTGCTTAACTGCTTGTGTCCTGGGAAACAGCAGTTTCTCCAAAACAGGATCAATAATTTAGTGATGACTGTTGCTCCTGCCCACCCACTTGAGCCACCATGTCTGGAAAGGCTCTCAGCCTTGATTGAATGGAATACTGACACAGTCTCTTGTAAACTTGTTTTGCTGCTCAGTTGTTTGCATAATGAAGTTCAGCACTGGAACTTTGGCTATCTGTCTCCTCATTCTCTCTCCCTGCCCCCGCCCCCACCCCCATCCTGATCCTGATTTTTCCCTTTCTGATCCTGTTCCTTCAAGTGAATGCTTATACTTTTCCTTTATAATAATTGTACATTATACCAATCTTACTAGCTTCCTTTGTTGGCACGCTTTCCAAAAGCCCCTTTCTCTTCCTTGGTACTTTCCTCTGAACCAGCCTGTCATTCATCTTTGTAGCGTGCATTTCATAATGGTACATAAGTTTTGTGTTGTTTATTTAGATACCACTTGAGTGGTGATATTCTGATTTTTCTGTATTTTAATGTTGGAATCTCCCTTGTGGCTAACCCTTTCCTACCTCTGTCTTTTGCAGATACGAGTAAAAAGCAGCAAGATGATCCGAGTCATCCAGGTGGAAAATGAGGAAAAGCTTAAGGAACTGGAGGGATTCAATGTGTGGAACTACATCGGCTTCTTCTTCAAAGAGAAACTCAATGACACCTATGTTACTGTAGGTCTCTACAGTAATAAAACTTGCTTGAAAGTTGATGTGCTTGAAGAAGGCTCCAATTACACCATCATCGTTGCTCGTAGTATGTCCTCTTTTACCTTAGTTGCTGGCTTACTGGGGAAGCTGTCAGTTGTGCATCTAGTACTGCTAAATGAATTAGATTAAGCTGCTTACTTCCTGATACTGTGAACTGCAGGCCTTCTGGTTGCACAGAAATGTAGTAGTGATGCGAGGGCAGGAATATCAGGACACTAGCTGGCAAGTGAGTTATGTAATCTAGATGCTTTGTACTACATGTGGTGCCATAAGTAGGATGAATACTAGGATTTCATGCTGATGTCAGAGGCTTCACTATGTCAGGTTAATGGAGAAGTTGATTCATTTTGGGAGGGTCAAATAAGTCGCAGTGACCCAAAGTTCTTTTTATCTTTTTAACGAGATGTAAGCTTGACTTATATGGTATTCTTCTGGTTTTGGTGATCTCTTACCATTCCTTGTAAAAACCTATGTGTCCAGAATATTTTCTATTGCAAAATGGAGACATGACACTCGTATCCCAAATGTTTTTTAAAAGTAGATCCTATTGCTTAGTGTGAAATTTCAATTAATGGTTCATTCTTCTATACTTGGGTGCAAATACCCATCACTTGTGAATGACACATATGCACTGATCCTGTATATATTGCACAGGAGCTTGGCCATTTCAGTATGCATGCACCTTTTGCAATTAGTGAACTGCTGTGTGTGTATTATCTCACAGTACCAAAGTTTGAGTAAAGTCAAAATTTGTTCAATTCATTTTTGTATTTTATTTGGGAGGGATGTTGATGGTGAGAACTACTATTTTAAGGGAAAGTATTAACTGCTTGAATGAGTTATGTGCTATGCTGTGTTGTTTCTTCTTGGTAAGTTAGTGAAGGGACAGGTTACCCAAACCCAGGTAACCTGTCCCTTCATTAGGATGTAGTGTGCTTGTTCCTACAGTAGATCAGCATTCTTATGTTGCTGCACAGGAACTTTGTACTCTGCCCTTTGAATTAATTCTAGATTTGCACAAAGAGTATAGGGTAGTTTGGGATGATGCGATGCCCTATGAAAGACAGGAAGCGGTCATCACAAGTGTTGTGTGTCTGGCAGTATTGCTATATGAAGCCTCATCATAAATGGGCACTTGGTCTGACAGCATTTGAGGTCACCTTACACCCTAATTCAAAAGATGTAGCAGCTCAAAGGTCAGTTCAACACAATGGATGAACTGTTTCATTTTCTTGCAGCATTTGATCCCAAGCTCTTCGTGGTTACATTTCTGGGCCTTCTGCTGTTTTTCTGTGCTGACTTGATGAGCAGGTGAGCACTGTAATGGGCGGCAGAAATGCCAGACACAATCTACTGCAGCCATCTGCTTGGCCTGTAACAGCTACCAGATTGATCTTTCCTGTCTAAAGCAATGGTAGTAGGTTATATGGTTTTTGTTTTAATAATGAAAGGCTAATGCAGGGGTTGGGAACCTCAGACTCAGGAGCAAAATATTCTCCCCCATCCCAGGGCTCTCTGTCTGGCCTTTGAGACCCGGGACTCAGGACTGCCTGTCTCCAGCTGTGCCATGGCTAGCAAAGGACATGCTGCTTCTTTGTTCCACAGAAAGTTGCCTTTTGCTCTGCTAAATCATGGCTATGCTGCCCCCAGTGTCTCTGTGGACTCATGGCTTTGCAGGCTTTGCCAGAAGCAACAGAGAGAACAATCTCCACCTCCACATGGCAACTGTAAACTCCGGCTTGTTACCCAAAGGCCAGCCAAAGGTTTTGGCTCTTGGTGTATTCCAGCCATTTTCCCTTGTTCTTGTGGCTTGTGTTGAATATTTGCTGCTCCTGACAACCTTTGTGGACGTATAGATGTTATTCCTGCACAGCAACTGAAATAACAATTGTTTTTGCAGAAGTCCACTTTTCTTCTATTCGGCTGGAATAAGCATTGGTGTGCTAAGTTCATTGCTAATTGTCATCTATGTAATGTCCAGAATGGTGCCCAAGGTGAGTGAAAGTACTGTTCTATTGACAATACTAGACTCTTTGACAACAAGCATCCAGAAAGCCATGAGTTCAGAGTTCATCTTTCCAAATGTTTAAGCTTTAATTTCAAGTGCCTTATTCAGACTGTCCATGGCTTAAAGAACACGCAGGACATATTGACCACCCAGTCTTGGCTAGAGGGATTGTCTTCCATACAGCTTTGTTGTCCATATTCCTCCTTTCACTGTTTTAAGTTAGCAAGAGGAATGAGTGAGGTGGCAGCAGCAAGAGGAGAGGAAGCAGGATGTACAGCGGTGCTCTTTCCCTTGCAAATGAGGAACTGACAGACGTAATAATCATTGACCCTAGAGAGGGGAATAATTGAAAATAGGGGAAAGAGAAACATTTGCTTGCTGTGGGCAGATGAACATGGCAGAGTGGGATTTTTATTGCACCCTTCTCAATATATGGCTCTTGCCTGATATATAGTAGCTCAGAAGCACTTTAGTGCACGTTTTTGTTGGAATCTGGACTAACTTAATATGATAAATACTTTACTACTGTGGTTGCCATATATATTAGAAAAAAGTTAAATAATTTTTGGCAGTGTGTGTGTATGTGTTAGTGGGTATATTCCATTTTTGCTTGACTACATTTCGCCAGTTTACCATATGCAAATTCAAATGTTAGTGGTTGTGCAACTGCTTTTAAAAATCCCAGTTGTGGTATTTTGCAATGTAGGAAAACCCATGGCATCAACCTCACAGTTCAAATGGTATTTTTCCCTATGAGAAAAAAATGGCATTCAGCAAATGAAAATGCCCGTCTTTGGACAAGTCTAGTCATCTGATAGTTAAATAGCTGCTTGAATTGAAATTGCCTGTTTCTTATTGTGTTTCATATTTCATATTGTGGAGTTGTGAAAAGTGTTTGTGTGTCCTTTGTGAAAGCGTTTGGACCAAGTCAAGTGCAGATACACAGTTCAGTGGGGTTTAAGTAGAGGGCCATGGCTGCCCCGCCCCCTGCAATCCCTCATTCAGCACCGAAATTGGCCACTGTAGTCTAAGACCTGGTTCTCATAAGTGGGTAAAATGGGTAAACCTGTGTCTCAGTGGTATGCATCAAATGATTTAATCCTCTTCCATTAAAAAAAAAGACCCTCTCCCTGCATGTAGAGTGCTGGGAAGAAGGGTTCTAGTAGGGCATGTTGTGTTGTGTGAGCCCCCACCTGCAACCTGCATAGTACAGTCTACATACAGGTTTGCCACTCTGCTTGCTGTTGTGAGAACTAGGCCAAATGCTTCTCATCAGTCCCAACCAAAGAATCTGGCCTAACTTTATCTTGCCAGGCTATGCTGAAATATGCCTGCCTGCCAGAACCCAGCCATAGAATTTAAATTGTGCAGTTTGCATATGGTAACAACCTAGTAGTGTTGTATGCCTAATTTAGGGCAAGCTGGATTGTCTGCTCTGTCAAGAATGCAAAAATAGCTTTCTTGTTCTTTTTGTGCCCTAGAAAAGTCCCATCTACCTCATGCTAGTGGGAGGCTGGTCTTTTTCTGTTTACCTTATTCAGCTGGTCTTCAGAAACCTGCAGGAGATCTGTAAATTGTACTGGGAATATCTGCTGGGTGAGTATTTCTTGACTTTCTGTGCTTTCTTTTTCATCAAAGCCTGTGCCTTAGGCTAATCTTCATATTTTTGAGTGTTTCTAGAATTATAGAATCATAGAATTTTAGAATTGGAAGTAGCACCAAGGGTCATCTAGTCCAATCCCCTGTAATGCAGGGAAATCCATTGCCTTCACACTTGGGAAATGCTTAGCCTCCACACTTCATCCTCAGCTCCCAATTAGCTTGAGTAAAGAGTACCTAGAGAAGAAGAAGAAGAGGAGTTTGGATTTGATATTCCGCCTTTCACTCCCTTTAAGGAGTCTCAAAGCGGCAAACAATCTCCTTTCCCTTTCTTCCACACAACAAACACTCTGTGAGGTGAGTGGGGCTGAGAGACTTCAAAGAAGTGTGACTGGCCCAAGGTCACCCAGCAGCTGCATGTGGAGGAGCGGAGACGCGAACCCGGTTCCCCAGATTACGAGACTACCGCTCTTAACCACTACACCACACTAGAGATCTAATTAAGGCGAATTTAGCTGCATTGATATTTGTTCACACCAAAATGACAGCTAAAAAGTGTTCAGCAAATTCTGCTGAAGTATGATTTGGAGTCACTTAAACAGAAATTTAAGTGAAACTGGTATTTGGATGGTGACTCCTACTGGGATGAGGCACTGGGGTGGGAGTTATGGAGGAAATAATGGCATCAGCTATACTACTGGTTACAGTGGTACCTTGGGTTACATACGCTTCAGGTTACAGTCTCTGCTAACCCAGAAATAGTACCTCAGGTTAAGAAATTTGCTTCAGGATGAGACAGAAATCACACGGCGGCAGTGGGAGGCCCCATTAGCTAAAGTGGTGCTTCAGGTTAAGAACAGTTTCAGGTTAAAAATGGGCCTCTGGAACGAATTAAGTACTTAACCCAAGGTACCACTGTATTGCATGTTTCAGGCTTCTAGTTATGCAGTCCTTCTCGACCGTACCAAACCCTGACTTGGTTTTGATCTTGAGAGGTTTTTCCTTTTAATATCCCATGTGAGAAGCACACACTGTGAGCACAGGAGTCATTGATTTAATTACACTTGGTATGATACAACCTTTCTAGATAAGCATCCCATTCATTTTAAGGCTTTTTGGTCCAGTCTTCCTAGAGCAGACTGTGTAAAAGACCTGAGTTCTTGGCTTTTGTTGCCTTCTGGAATCTGCTGTTGGCAACATGTTTTAATTCTCTTGCTGTTAGGGAATAGTCAGTGTTTTCTATCTATTTCTGGCTGATTTAGCACATTGTTTTGCTTCCTGGGGTGGTGCTTCATTCATTAAGTCACTCACCATGAGGATAGTTTAGGCTCCAGATTAAAAACAATTCTTGGAGTATCTCTTTATGTTTCTTCCTTTATTTCCTTTCCTTTCTTTGCAGGTTACTTGCTCGTTGTAGGGTGTATCAGCTTTGCAGTGTGCTACAAATATGGGCCCTTGGAGAACGAACGCAGCATCAATCTTCTCACTTGGGGTTTGCAGGTTCTTGGCTTGCTTTTCCTCTACGCAGGCATCCAGATACGGCAGATCGCCATCGCACTGATCGTAATTGCATTCTGCACTAAAAACCTGGAGTACCCAGTCATGTGGGCCTATGCTATCTACAGGTGACGGATGGGAAGCAGGGCATTACTCATCCTAGAAGGCACAATCCAATAATAGACATTAATAGACTAGTAAGATAAGGTGTGTGCTTGTGTTTGTGTGTATGTACTCAAAACACAGTGAAATTTCTAACGTACGAGAGAACAAGGATTGCCTATTCAAAGATCACTTACTATATTTCATTCAGTGTTGGCCAAGTCTGTAGTTTATATCTGGATAATCAGAAGGAGAATGAATACTTTTGCATATATATATACAGGGAGTGTCTGGACACTCCTGTAGAGGATAGTTGCTCAGAATGAGATGATTGTTGTTAATCATTTAAACACTTAAAATTCTGGGGCACTGTGCAGCAATCTGCTGTGCAGCATATTAGATTGTAAAACTATATTGTTTCTTTAATATACTAGTGTAAAGGAATGGAGAGGAAAGGAAAGAGGAAAGCAGGCAAATTCACGTACCAGTTGTTAAAAGTTATAGCAAGTTATGTAATTGGGTAAAGTTTCTTTTAATGACCAGTTGAAATAGGTGCTATGGGGACAGTGTTCAAAAAGGAGGACCCATTGACTGGATCCCAGCCAGCTCAGTCAGACCTCAATCGCAGCATTCATGTGCCACTGTAAACCATCGTTTTACTCCTCCCTGATTCTCTCCTCCTTCGTAAGGTGGGGCAGAAACAAACCATGATCCTGGCTTACTGCTGAATCCAAACAAGGATTATGGTTTGTTTTGCTCCAAAGTTTGCTTTCTCATCATGGTTTGTTTGAATAAAACAAAACATGATCTCCAGTTCAGATGTGATGCCAAGCCAGGGATTGTGGTTTGTTTCCTTTGCATACTAGTGGGGAGGAATGAAGCAGACATATTTACAGTAAGCCATTACTTATGGTTTACAGTGATGTTTGAACATACCCATTATCTCTTTTTTCCTCCCTCAGGTGAAGCCAGGTGAAATGGTAGCTAATGGAAACAGGTTGTGGGAGGGGGAATAGCTAACCTAATGCTTTAACCCCCAATTAATGGGTATGCTTTTGATCCATGCAGCCTGTATGGTGGAAGCTGGGTTGAATTGTTGGTGAGCTTGTTCTGGATGTTGAGTGGCAAATATGGTCAAATGGATATTGTGTTGAAACCATTAAAATTGGGATTTCAGTTGCTGGATTGAAACATACCACTAGATGGTGCCTTCAGAGATTTTTGCAAGCTCTATCTCCCTCTAAAGACCAGCATCATGTTTAGATGCCTGGGTCCTCCTGCTCTCTGTGTCTTTTCTTCTGTCAGGTGGGCCTATGAGCATAGCATATGAGAACATATATATTTACAATACCTGGCAAACCTCTTTTCAATTGAACTTTACAGCAGTAAGACACAAGAGACGTAAGACTGCTCAAGGCATAAAATTTGAGGCTGGGAGCGAATCGCCCTAAAAAGACAATCGGTCTGTAAAAGGTCTCTCTTTGGGTCTGATGTAAGAAAATGACACACAGGTCTGAGGTCTGTTCAAATGTCTACCTAGTGTTCATTAACTCAAAGAATACCCTACTCAGATTACTGCCAATTTGTGTTTAGTTGTTGTGCATCACAAGACTGTCTTGGGAAGAACCATCAAGATAATGCAGTAAGACTAGTGGGACAGAATCTTTCTGAAGAAGGTCTAGTCCTAGTCAAAAATCACAGTCTTGTGCCCTTTTGGTACAGACTCCCAGTTGCACCTATTCTAGTGAAGCTCAAGAGTAAACACTGTTTCCTGAGCTGCTCAAGGGTTCTTGGAAGGCACCAGGCTTTGATGTTCAGACTTGCAGCTGCCACTAATGTCATTGCTATCCTAGCAGGAAGGTCTCCACAGCCCCAGAAAAGCCCAGCCCACCACGTCTGCTAACTGAGGAGGAGTACCGGATACAGGGGGAGGTGGAGACACGCAGAGCCCTGGAGGAATTGCGGGAGTACTGCAGCAGCCCAGAATTCTCTGCCTGGAAAGCAGTCTCCCGCATCCAGTCTCCCAAGAGGTACTGTCCAAGATGATTAGAAGATGGGAGGGGAAAGCTGCATGGTGCTATGGGATCCTTATACCCTTTGGGAGCCTTCAAAAGGGCAGCCTGGTTACAAACTCAGCTATAGGAGGGAAGTGGGATCTGGGGTAGTTAAGGGAAGGGGGGGAATGAGATGCAGGTTTGAAGCTGGCTTCTCTGCTAGTGCCACACGCCAGGAAAAACTACCAAGTGTGCATTGCTTTATTGAGTGCATGCTACACATGGGGGCTATTCCCCTGGCCATGCCTGCAGTTTGGACTGACAAATGTTTAATTGGCCCATGTTACATGCATTTCATGGCAGGCCATTAAATAAAAGTCAGACATCTGCTGGTTGCTGCAGTACTCTCACTGCTCTCTGCTGGTTTTTCCCCAGATTTGCTGATTTTGTAGAAGGTGCTTCGCATGTGGTCCCCAATGAGGTCTCTGTCCATGAGCAGGAATATGGGCTGGGAGGTTCTTTTCTGGAGGATCAGCTCTTTGAAGAGGAAGATGGAGAGCGAGACTACAGCTTTGAAGAAGAGGAACGTGTGGACACCTTTAGGGCCCAGAGACATCTAATTTTCTGAAACAAAGTCGGCTAGTATTCATGCAAATAGATTGATTGATAATGCCCCTTGTTGACATGGGGTAGGAGTTGCAGCGTTGCTGCTCTCATCTTAGAGTGAGTACATGTATACCTAGTCTACTGTGGATGGCACATACAGAACAAGGTGTATATGCTTGGCAGACTGCGCAAATGGGCTGGGGTTCTATTAAAGCCCTGCTGCCTACACTAAACAGTGAACCGAACGTGCAGTGAGCTACACGTGGGGCAGAGTCCTGGACTCAGTATCTTGTGGGCTGTGAGTGAATGAGGCTAGGCAACTGGGGAGCAAGGTGGAGTTGTGACAATCTATTTAAAACCTGCCGGTAATGAATTATTTTGCCTTGATTAGGCAGGGGCTCCAGAGGAAGGGCTTACACCAATGTGTAATGTCCAGCTGAGTTAGGCTTTGCCGTAAGTACCTTAATTGGTGTCATACTTTGTTTCTTGGAAGCCCAGAATGCTGTCGTCCGAGGTCTGACTTTTCATGGTGTCTGTGGTGGTTGGTAGAGATACTGCCTCCTTGGTGGCTCCTGTGCTTATCAGTTGTTAGGCAACTCTTTCTTATGCTATCAGGCTTGATCCTGTGCTTGGCACAGTTCTTTAATGAACAACAGATGACCCACATTATGCATGTTTCAGCTCAAACAGGATTTTGTCTGCTTGCAAAGAAGATGCAACCAATTTTTTTGGGTGGCCTTCTGCTGCTTTCTATGTTTTTGTTTGTTTTGAACTAGTTTCCTCCCAACATAAGTTTGCCTGTATAGCTCTCTGAAGCTGCTGTTTGGTGTCAGAAAAGACCAACTAACTGATACAGGTACTATAACAGGATTTAACTTATGCCTTGCTACTTTCAAGCACCTGTTTGGCCCTCTCTTTACCACCTGGCTTTAAAAATTCTGACAGCCAAGTTGGATCTTTGGGGGTTTGTTCCTTTTAGCAGATGCAGCTTGGCACAATCTAATAAAGAGCTGTTAAATGTTATAGGCGACTAAGCCTATCAAATTCTACCACCTTTTTAACTTCAGGGATAGTTCCTAAATCAAGAATTACAGACATAATGGCAGCCTGATTCACTTAGGTGTAGGTCCTTATTACCATATTTCTTGAGCCTTTTTCAAATTAGTTTCTACAGAAAAATGTAGCAAAGGCCTACATTTTCAAAGTGGTTGTTTTTCCAGAGATCAGTTGAATTGTATCTTCCAAGCGTGGGTGGCATGAGGCGCCATGAAGTTCAGGAATAACTCCCGCAAAATAGTTGACAGCATATGACAGAGAATTTGACTGGTTATATGTGCCTTATTTACCTAGTCCTGGAGCAACATGAGCAAACACAAAAAGGTGATAAGAGCTATCATGTCCTGTGTTCTGGCTATTCTGTTTCTTCTCTGTAGCCTGCTACTTGTGCAAATGCTGCCCAGTATATTTGGCAGTACCTGGTCAGCAGGATTTTTGGGATCGAAATTCTTCCTTTTCTCCATATTCAGAGATCATAAAAACAATTTAGTTGATCAGAAAATGGGGAGAACTCCATGCTGTTGGTATACATTTTGAGTGAATTTAGTGTTACAAGAAACATGGGACTACTGAAAATCACAACCCCCTGTCTGCATCCAAAATGGTACAAATTATCCCATGCCCTGATGTACTTTGCCGTACTTTCTCCACTAGCTGCAGCTAGTGATGTGGAACACAGAGAGGAAATGAGAAAGTATTACGATAATGGGACCAGAGCAAGTTGTACTAGAAGAGCAGGAGAGAAGAAATGTCATGGGGCTGGCCTTGGCCACTGCCTTAAGTTTTTTCAGTTCCAAATTCAGGGCTGGGGAGTAAATTGCTGGTGCCCTTTCCCCATATTGAGAGTTGAACAGATCTGATCAGACAGAAGCACCTGACCTTGTATATTGCAAAGTTCACTTGTTCAAAACTCAAAACAAGAGTTTTTGCTCTACATTCTATGAAACATTATGTGTAAAATGTCTTCCTCCAAGTGTTACAGTCAATACAAAATGCTGAGTTCACTTTGTCACAAAAGCAAAATACTTGATCTATGCAAATTGGGGATATAAGCCATTACGTATTTCTGGGGTAGTGGTGGAGGGGAATACCTCCTAACTGTGGTCAAACTGCCTACAGACAGGTTTCAGTAAGTGTGTGTTTCTCTTTTATTTCTAGGAGGTGGTCAGTATTTTTAAAAAAGTTACTTTTGACTGTGAATGTACTGATATGCCATATCAATGCTTTCTCAGTTGTGTAGTGAAGGTTAAGATTTTTAATAAAGTCTTTTTTGGTAGAAAATGAAACTTGTGATGGTGTGAGGGGTAGATAAACCTTTCCACCTTCTTATGGAAGGTTTAGTAGAAACCTCTTTTTTGTCTAAAATTGCCTCTTGATTGTTCCAAGCAGCTATTTGCTTGTTGGACTGCTCTCTAGCATTATGTACAATAAACCACTTGTGAGTTGGAAGCTTTATTGAAGAACAACAACCTGCCCCCAAACATGAGAACCTTCTTGCAGGCGGTGATCGCTGTTATTGCTTGATCAGAAAGGCCTGGTTGATGCTTCCTTATACAGCAAGCCTGCAATTTATGCGGATCTAACTTCTCACATTATTTTTTAGCCAAGGGCTAAAGGCACTGGTCAAGCTGTAATTTCTGGAGTTATGTTACGGTGTTAATAATGTGCCTCAGGCATGCAAGGCCATAGGGGTTTTGCAGAATAGTAATGGCACCCACACAACTAGTGTCCAAGGAAGGGTAGCAATAGCAACCCTCTAGTCACCTTAAGGGTGAGAAACTTGCTTTTTAAAAAACACACACAAGCCCAAGACTGAACTTGGGTGACTGAACTCTGTGCCCCAGACTAGTTTCCCTGCTTTCAGAGCATGGTGAAGAGATTGACTACAAAGAACGTCTAAACAACTCAGCTTAGAGACAAGATGCAGTTCTAACAGAAGGCCAGGCACAAGTGTTCACTTGTTGAATTTGATTCCTTTAAAAAACATACAAGTGAGGTAATATAGAGTAATCACATTCATCAGAAAGCACATGGGGGGGGGGAGAAAAAGAGTAGATAGCAGCCCAGCTCTATCCCACACCCTTCTGTCTTGTCACTTGCAGAAGGGTGGTCACTACTGAGAAGAGGAAAGGCATGTAACCATAGTAGCTCTTGGGATAGCCCTACCTGACTTCAGCTTCCTTTTCGGTGAGTTCACTGGAGACTGATGCCACAAATGCATGAAGGAACAGAGCATGCTATTATGTAAAGTAGCATCCACAGGGCTCCTCCTTGTAGAACTTGGACCTCTCAGAACTGATGGTAGCCTCCACACTTACTTTATTTGCTACTAATTGTTTAGCAGACAGGTTTCCTGAGTAAACAATGTGGCAGGTTATGCTTAGGTGCAAACAATAATAACGGTTAAAATCCTCCACAAAAATGCTGGTGTAGTTCTAATTACGAGATGCAGTTATGACCTTTTCATCTTTTCCAAGCATTTCTTAGGGACAAGGTTTATTTCTTTAGCTGAATCCTTTTCATTGTTGGTGCCAGGAGATTTTCAGAAGCCAAAGAAAAACCAGTCTTAAGGACTAATAGCAAGCATGTTATATAGTCCTCAGATTTATTGAATCCAGTGCCAGTGAAACATACAGAATCCACCCCCCGCCCAATTAAAGCACATGGCAGAGAATAGGGAAAACCCAGGCAACCACAGACCCCCTCCATGTAGCTCTCCCCACAATCTGCTTGAGAGGAAGCTGTAAGGCAACATGATACAGAGGGCAGGCTAAGGACCAAGCAGGTGTTAGTGGGAAAAGAACAACCACAAGTGTCCCAGTGCCCCGTACCATTTATCCCTTCCACACTATCTCATTATAATTCTAGGTGTTGGTAATGGTGTGAGGTTGCTGTTCTCATCCTTTCCCATTTCATAGTGCCCTTGCGGGCTCTCTATGGTCACCTGTTTTTACAAAGTTGTCTCCTTTCCCATTTTTCCTATTACTTCTAGCTTGGTAAAAAGCTTTAGATCAGCCCTGGTTCTCCTCCCCACACCCAGTATCTGGCTACTCATGTCTCCCTACCGGCTTAGAACATAGGATGCACGCAACATCTACTAAATGTAAAGCTGGCTTAAGTGCCGGCTTATCTTTGCAGTGCAACCACTGATAGCTTATCCAAGAAAACATCTTTAGTCATGTAGTCAGAAGCCTCCTCTTGGCCCGTGTTGTGATGCAGCCAGTCCAGGCTCCTCCACCCTTCTGTAAATTATCAGATGCAACAGCTGCTCCAAGGTTATTCCAGGGAATGCAAGGTCCCAGCAAGGCAGCAACAGCACAATAAGTTAAAAGCAAATATTTGCAACAGTTCTAGTAGAGAGATTCTTCCTGGACAAGCATCTCTGCTGCTGGAGCACTCCCAACCGCTCAGTCGACATTGGGAAGCAGGCAAAGGGGTTTTTCTTCCATGCCCTCCAACCGGCGGCCTCTCTTATCCACACACCAGCACTGGCCTCTCTTCTGTCCCTTGGATGCCTGACACTGTAGGGGGCAATGATGTTAGTGGAAGATAAGACTACTGTGAAACAGCAGCTTCTCTAGCCCATGGATCCAGGCAATTCCCCATTTGTGCGTGATCGGCATGCGCAAGCCACTTCGGCTCTGCAATGGGGCTGGACAGGGTAGGGTGGGCTTACATGCATCCCACTGACACACAGTGCCTCAAAGCACAACCTCTCTGTATATGGGGAGTTGCCTGTATACACAGTGGGAGAGACTGGATATTTTTAACATAAGATTCTGGTAGGAAATTTGAAGCCAAAAGAACCAGAACACTAAACCAACTGAGAAATTACTCCGCTTATTACTCAAAGTTATGGCTTGCTATAAAAGCCCAAGAGTAGCTACTTTGCCTCTATAAGCAACTTTTCAGTATACCTGCTTACGCCTGTAGAACCCTTTGGTGTCACAGTTGGGAATGAAGATGTCTTGACCATTCTGGTAGAGTGGGGCCTTCAACTCCTGCAAGATGGTTGCCAGGTGCCTGCGGCAAGGAGCCTGCCAAACAGAAATAGGACAGTAGTTAAGTTGTGGTGGGAACCTGTGGCCTCTCAGATGTTATTAGATCACTCCATCAGCCACAGCCAGCATGGCCAATGGTGAGGGATGATGGAAGTTGTAGTCTAACATCATCTGGAGAGCCACAGGTTCCCTGCTATTGGATTGACAAAAGAGCTATGATACCCATAGGTGGACAGAAGCCAGAAGAGTCAAGCAGTATATTTCAGCCTGGGTTTAACTGTACTTTAAATACAAGTGTTTGGGTCTGATTTACAAGTCAAGGGTTTATACAGAAGGCACCGAAGTGCTAGCATGGCAGGGAGTGATACGCTGGCTTCCCATATAGGGAGGAAGGCTGTGAGTATGTGTTAAACCATGAGGAAGTGTTCAATTACGAGATCCTTCTCTGGCTTACTGAAAATACGCAATCCCAGAAAGATTATACCTCATGCTTTTCTGTAAGTAGGAATTTGGTGGTGTGAAAAGGAGAGAGAAAGAAATAGAAGCAGACAGTTAAGAGCAATAATGTGCAGGTTTCTCAGTTCTTCTAGCATCGCTTTCCTGTGCAGCAAGGTCTGTACAGAGCAGGAAGCCAGAATGCCAGCAGGGAAGCACAGTCCCTTCTAGTCTTTCTCTGGGTGGGAAAGTACAGGCTGCTTGCTCCACGTACCATATCACGCTCCACTTTGGCATCACTGCTCAGGGAGAGCTGCTGTAGTTGGGTTTTGCCAACGGTGACCTCTTGCAGTGGATCCTGGCTCTGTAACAGGAGAGGCTCTGCTGTTGATGGACCAGCATGGTGATTCTCCTCCCAACCATCACCTAGAGAGATGGAAACAGGCTTCAGCCTTTCAGTCACCTTCTTAAGGAAGACAAGGGGAGGGAGGGAGGACCAGCTGCAGGACGGCAGTTCCCAAACTCTACAGAGAACAATGTTGAAATATTGGGTGCATCCACATTCTCTTCCAAACAGAACATGAAAACAGAAGATGAATGGAACAGTCAGCCTCTGTTATTTCTATCAATATAACTGGTAACATTTACCACCACCCACCCACCCCCCTGTGCAGGGGGTGTGATTAAGGATGCACTTGCATGAGCTGCAGCTGACGGGGTCTGAGGGATCCCAGAAGTCCAGCCCTGCCTCGAGTCCTGTAACTGGGCAAAAGGGAAGCAGGACACAGTAGGGATGTTAACTAAACTGCCCTGCAGTTGAAAGAAACATATCTGCCCATTGTTCTGGAAGCTGATCACGAAAATACATGTGTGAAACCCATCTAGCATTAACTGCAAAGTAAACGTGCCTCTATGCCAGGTATCAGAAGTTGTGATCAGTGAGCAATACCTCTCTACAGATGGTGGGATTTGCAATACAGCCAAAGACTTTGGTTAGTTTCTCCTCCTTGACATTTCAGATAATCTTACCCTTGCCTGGTATTTTGCCGGATGCAGCAACTGGGACATACTCAAAGCGCTAGAAAGACATTAGAAGCAACTCATCCAGAAAAACCCTCAGCCATGAAGCTACACTGCCCTGAAAGGCACGTAGGATAAAAATGTAGGAAAGAAATGTAGACTGGAAAGCCCTGTTTCACCCAACAGCTATTTCAAATAACCATTTGTCCATCTCCAGCCAAGAACTAGCAGTGTCCAAAGGACAATTTTTAAAGCTAATATTCTCCAGATGCATTTCCCATTTTTTTAATATATAAAAAAATCCTAATCTAGTTATCCCTATCTCCTCCAGCCCCATAATGTTGTCACTTGGGACAATAAGTGTTGAACACTTCAGTTCTCCCTTTGTGACCTCAACCAGAATGGAGGCTAGCTGAATTCACGCCCATATATATTGTTGTCAAGTTATGCTTTTCCGGGTGGGTGGGTGGGTGGGTGTGTTCAGGACCTTAGCCCAGTTGTGCTTTTTACTGTAGAATTTAGAGAAGAAATAGATGTATAATGCAGCCTTTCTGTCCCCAAATTCCAGCCACTTACCATTTAAGTGAGCATTTCTGTAAACAAAAAGCACCCGAGACAAAAATCAACAACAAACCAACCAACCCAAGAAGTATGTTTTTGCTGTTTTTGTTGGGGGACTTTTTCTTCCAGGCAGTTTTAACGTATTGGGAAAGAAGAAGGTTAAAAAAGTCCCATTGGGTTTTTCGAACAAAAGCTGATCCAGGAACTGCAGAATTTTGCATGCTCATTTAATAACTGACTGGCATCAGCAAGTCTGGAATAATGGAGAAACTCACCAAGTCCAGGCGTGGCAAAGTAATGACAGATGATTTTAGTATCATTTGGGGCAGTTTTAATAATTATGCAGTCATGAAGGAACATGGATTTTTCCCACCAGCAACAAAGGGATACTTCCAGAAAGACACTCTTTGGTGACAAATGTGACTATGCTGTTGCATTGACTTCATGTTGATCTATGTATTTGTCCTGAGGCTTTGGTTAATTGAAAATGAAAACACTTAAAGAAACAAAACCCCAAAAGGCAGATCCAGGAAGCAGGCTTAAGTGCCCTGCTGACACAGCATGCATGGCTTTGTTTGGAACATCTGTGCAAGTTAGTCCCTTTTTAAAGATGTTTAATTCACTGCTGTGGGTTAAACCACTGAGCCTAGGACTTGCCGATCAGAAGGTCGGCGATTCGAATCCCCGCGATGGGGTGAGCTCCCGTTGCTCAGTCCCTGCTTCTGCCAACCTAGCAGTTCGAAAGCACGTCAAAGTGCAAGCAGATAAATAGGTACCGCTCCGGCAGGAAGGTAAACGGCGTTTCTGTGCGCTGCTCTGGCTCACCAGAAGCAGCTTAATAATGCTGGCCACATGACCTGGAAGCTGTATGCCGGCTCCCTCGGCCAATAAAGCGAGATGAGCGCCGCAACCCCAGAGTCGGTCACGACTGGACCTAATGGTCAGGGGTCCCTTTACCTTAATGCACCCCCAACCACCACCAACATGGCATTGAGGGTGGGCAGGAACTTCTAGGTTTCCCAGCTTCTACTTCAGACTTAAAGGAAAGCTCAGTGGGCAGGTTTAGTTGAAAAAACTGTTTCGCTCCACCATCCATGAGACCCAAGTGAAATAGACAGCTTCTAGTAGTCAATAATGAAGATGTAAAATTAGCTCTGCTAAAAATTTCTGCACATGAATGATGTGGGTAAAACACAATCATATACCCATTACCCCTTACAGCAGCACACAGAGGACCTGAAGATTATCACTGGTTACGTCTATAGACACATGTGGAGCATGTTACAGATTGTGATCATTGACAACCTGTGGATTTGCTCCACAGCTGACCACTGGCTCAGCTCTCACATGAGACTTCTGCATTTTCCACACAGCTCCTCAAGGGGGAAGCAGAGCTTCCTTGCATCAACCCATTTCCTGTGAGGTCCTGTACTACTAGTACAGTGGTACCTCGGGTTAAGAACTTAATTCGTTCCGGAGGTCTGTTCTTAACCTGAAACTGTTCTTAACCTGAAGCACCACTTTAGCTAATGGGGCCTCCCGCTGCTGCCGCACCGCTGCGAGATTTCTGTTCTCATCCTGAAGCAAAGTTCTTAACCCAAGGTACTATTTCACTGAGGTCCAGCACCGAGGGCCTTCTGGTGGTTCCCTCACTATGAGAAGCCAAGTTACAGGGAACCAGGCAGAGGGCCTTCTCGGTGGTGGCACCTGCCCTGTGGAACGCCCTCCCACCAGATGTCAAAGGAACAACTACTACCAGACTTTTAGAAGACATCTGAAGGCAGCCCTGTTTAGGGAAGCTTTTAATGTTTGATGTATTACAGTATTTTAATATTTTTTTGGAAGCCACCCAGAGCGGCTGGGGAAGCCCAGCCAGATGGGTGGGGTATAAATAATAAATTATTATTATTATTTCTGGGTTAGTGGAGTCTGTAACCTGAAGTGTCTGTAACCTGAAGCGTCTGTAACCCGAGGTACCACTGTAGCTCCAATTCAGTCTGGATTGTACATATAGCACCCTGGCTCAGTGGAGACCATTTAAAGCTGTTGAAACGGTAGCAGCAGGAAGAACGATGGGCAAAGCCTACTTAGTAGGCCATAATGACAAGTTCCATGCAGCACCAAAAGACAGAACAGGTTCCAGCCATAAAAGATTAGCATGTTTTTGGAGGCTACATACATATTTATTAGAGAGCATGATGAATCTAAAAACTCGGGGTGCTTGTAGGCTGCCCTACATGTTTAACTCAGAAGTTTAACTCAGAAGCAATTCACAGTGTGATTAGTGGGACTTGCCTTCTTATCTAAGGATGAGTAGAACTGCAGTCTTATCCTGGAAAACTCCAGGGGGTTCCTGGCTGTGAAATGCTAAACCATTTTCACCAGTGATGGATAAATCCAGGATCCTGCACCGATGTCAGGCTTTGGGGGATCGGCTTCCTCCCCCGTGGCCGTAAATGAGCAGATCAAGCGAAAGGGAATTCTTACCAGTTAGTTTCTTTAATAAACACAGCGAAGGTCAAAAGAAAGCATCTAACCAGAATGGCGCTGCTCCCAATTAAGGTCACTCCCCCCTCCATCCCTATTAATCTACGTCACTCCTATGTTTTGTAATCTGAGATTGTAGCCTCTGTGCTTTCTGTTCTGCCACTTTCTGAGCAATCTGGGACTTTGGGGAAGGGGGGTGGATAGTACCCAGAGACTGTGAATCTGTTAACTTTCTCTCTCTTCTAGTGTTAGATCTGCTAGCTGTTCCCCATCCAGTATTTCCCAGCTTCTGCCTTCTGAACTATGCCCCTCTGCAAACCACCGTTCCAAAGCTATACTGTCCTCCTGCACCTGGGAAGATTCAGGATCAGGAGAGGGATGGCGGCTCCCACCATTCCTCCTCAGTGCAGCTCTTTTCAGGATGGTCCCTGACAATCTGCAAGTTATCCACATGATAAATTATACCTTTACCCAGGTCATTTGATCAAATGGAATCAAGGTTCAATCGATTAGATACAAAGCCCCACTTAGCCTAGCATAAACAGCAGGCAGATGTTGGTTAAGTGTTTTCCTAACTGCAAAAACAAGGCATGGGTAAAATGGCAAAATAGGAAGAGAGATGTATGCATGAGTTACTGAAGATCCCATCCAGATCACAACTGGCCTAGACTCTACACTGCTTTCATCTTTCAAAAACTACTTCTGCATTAATAGTGTCTAAAAGTTTGATATTAAAAAGCTGGATTTTTTTTAGTATTCCAAAGAATTTGTTGGATATTGCTGTCTCTAAGCCAGCTTCTACAACTCATGTAAAGGGTAAAGGGGACCCCTGACTGTTAAGTCCAGTCACGAACAGCTCTGGGGTTGCGGCGCTCATCTTACTTTACTGGCCGAGGGAACCGACGCTTGTCCGCAGACAGCTTCTGGGTCATGTGGCCATCATGACTAAGCCACTTCTGGCGAAGCAGAGCAGTGCACAGAAACACCATTTACCTTCCCACTGAAGAGGTACCTATTTATCTACTTGCACTTTGATGTGCTTTCAAACTGCTAGGTTGGCAGGAGCAGGGACCGAGCAACGGGAGCTCACCCCGTCACGGGGATTCGAACCACCGACCTTCTGATCAGCAAGCCCTAGGCTCTGTGGTTTAGACCACAGCGCCACCAGCATCCCCCAGTGTTCCTAGGTTTTGACCACTTGTGTAATCCTCTGCATGTTTACTTGGACATAAGCGTCCTTGAACACTTTATTCCCCAAATAAGCGTGCATAGGATTGCAGCTTCAAATGCAGGTTTATTCTGATTTCCACACAATGTTGCCTGTAGTAAATGTTTCTGAGCAAGGTTTGATGCTGCTCCTCCCTACAATGTCAGGCTACAAGTGTATTACAAGGACAGAAAGCTGTCATAAATTCATGAAACAATGTTCAGTGCTACATTTGTAATGTAAAAAACTGATGTCTCATTTTTGGGTTTGTTGAACTGCATGCATGCACATACTTGAATTCACTCCAAGAGGCCTGAATAAGGTTGCCATTTAAAATATTTTAAAGTAGGAGGTGGAGGAAGATGCACTCAGTGCTTCTTAATCATCAGGGCAGTGGCATTCAGTGCTTCTTAGTCATCAGGAGCAGAGTGAATTTTACAAGCTCAACACAAGTAGTTCTCCAACCACAATCCCTCAGCAGAGGGAAGGATTTGGCATGATCTCCACATCTCCAATATCCCTTCTTACCTCTGGATTTTATTTTGAGAAGAGAATGACAATTTATTGCACAAGCCATTTGAGGGACATGCTGACCACAATTCCTTGCTGCCAACTGTGGTTTTCATCTTCTCCATATTAACAAACTAAGAGATCTTTTTATTTTTATATCAGCCAGCGTAACTGGGGCACCTGTTTTGCATGTTCAGAGCCAAGCTAAGCTCAAATCTGCATACCTTCTACAAAATGATGACAAAGCAACTAGACATTACATTGGAAATCCATTGCACTGGAAGGGCTACCAAGATAGCTATTTTCTCCAGAAGTGACATAACTTGCTCACTTGGGAATGTTGGAGAATCCAGATGATGTTGGTATGACATAATTCTGTTCCAGTGTTCTCGCCGTGGTCCTTTTGACTTTATAGGCCTAGTTCACTGCAAATTGTCTGACTTTTAGTACAATCCTAGTGCTAGCCTCAACTCAACCAGCACAGAGGAGTGGTCCATGAGGCAGCTGTTGCTAAGGCTGGCAAGCCCCAACCGTTCTGTATTTCTTGGTTGCTCTGCCACCATTATTGCCCCTGCATCTATGGAGCTCTATTGAAAAAGGTGAGAATTCTGCATATCACCTGTTCAGGAGAGCAAAATAGAATAGATTCAGACCTGCTATTTTTCCTGCCAAACAGCTGAATGGCAGGATTTTAATCTGCAATGCTTAATTTTTTTTAATGTTAAAGACCATGGTTTCCCATATTAACTTGTCTGTGCTTTAAAATCTTCTGCTGATGTTCATTCTCCAGATGCCTCCTTCATCAGAGATTTGCTATTCAACAGTAAGGGAAAGGACCTTCTCAGCAGTGGCACCCCAGTTATGGAATGCCCTCCCTATAGAGGCTCGGTTTCCACCAACACTGCAGTCTTTCCAGTGCCAACCAACATTTTTACTCACACAGGCATTTTAAAATTTTGTTTTATTATCATTTTATGCTATAAACCGATTGTATACCACTCTGAAATCCAGATGAGTTGAATGGCAGCAAATACATGTTTTAATAAATAAGACCACAGGGTGGGGGGCGGAGGCAATGTCAGGGCCATATGCCAGGAATCAGGGTGTATGGGATGTTAGGAGAGGGATAGCACCTCTGGTGGGGGACACATCATGCTCCTTCTGAGTTAGTTTGCCCACTTTTGGTCCCCACCCTGCACTCAGCTCTCGCCTGTGGCTCCTAGAAGCTGTCAGCATGTGACAGCAGCCACATCCAGGGAATGGCTTCAATTGGCCAGCTAAACCAGGTGAGGGGAGCCAATGGGTCTCAGACCCTTGGCGATTTAGGGACTTCCCCTGCATGGGAAAACAGGCTCTGGTGGATTGAATGAACGAGACCGACAGTGGGTCCAATGGTCAAGGAGGCAGTTTCTGCAAGTGCTGAAGAGGGAAGTGAGGAGCAGATGAGGTTTGTCAAACCTGGAAGGGAGCCCATCTAGAAGTAGGAAAACTCTGATCCTAAACCTCTGCTGCCTTGTGAGCAGAGGCATTGGGGGGGTGTCTGTGGCTCTGGGCACAATTTTGTGAGGGGGCACCAACAGGCACCCTACAGCAGGCTCCTTCATCAGAGCCTGACTCTGATCAAGAAGCAGCTGTGCCTTGGCTGTGGCGCTCTTGCCTGTCTGCAGCTCAGCCCGGGGTCAGTCCTGACCCAGAGGAGGAGAGCAGGAGAATGGGCAGCAATGCTGCGGGCCCACCTTCCTTGGCCACGGTGCGCCTTGTGCCCAGCCCCAGCAGCTGTGCCACCGGGTCAGGTCTGACCCAGAGGAGGAGAGCAGAAGGAGAGTGGGCAGCAGCCCCCCCTTCTCCCCTGGACTGTGGCACCCGGGAGAGCACCCTCCAGCCCCACTGGGAGCACACCCCATGCAGTGCAGGCATACGCTCTGCCCCCGCTTGTGAGATATCCTCAGAAGAAAAGGCTATGGAGTACCCCTACAGAAATCCACATTTGGATGGTGCCTTGTATGCCTTCTGGCAACTCCTGCAGCCCAGCTGGTGCCAAACATATTGCTCTGCTTTTCTTTGGACCACATCAGTGAGGCAGAGAGGGAGTTTGCCCAGGACCTCCAGACACACTGCCCAGGCTTGCACCCTGAGGTCACATCCGTGCTGCTAATGCAGCGGTTGATTTCATCTCTCGAGACAGATGGATGCCAACAGAAGCCAGGAATCTCATGGCCTGATGTTAACACTTAGCCTTGGCTGTTTCCATGGACTGGATGTGTTCGACTTCAGAGAGCATCAGGAACAGAAGGAACTAAGAATGCACAGTATCAGCCTCTGGACTGGCCAGGCCAGGCTTATGTACTAGAACCAAGTCAAATCCCTGGTCAAAAGAAACAGTCCCTGTTGCACTTTCAGGATCCAGATTAACTCTTTACTTGTTGTCCCAGGGAGACTGGAGTTTGATAGCAGACCAAAATCTGGACTCTGCTCTGGCTAGTTATAGACCCCAACTGGTCTTGGCAAAAAGAGCAAGAAGGTCTAGCCAAGCATAACCAAGATTTTTGAAAAAGGAAATGCAGGGCCAGCTTCTCCCTTTGTCCACTGCTCTGTGTCACAACACAAAGGATAAGAGCCAAAATTTGCTGGTGAAAATAAGTACCCATGTGAGTTGCCCAGCATCTTTCCATCATCTGGCAGAATGGCTCCTTTCAGCTTGCTGGAGAGGAAAAGCAAAACCAAGGACACTTGCAAGTAATCCAGTTTGCAGATTGTGGCTCATTTCATGCAATCAAAGAAAACAGACTGTTGTCAGCAAGTGCCCAGGAAGCAAGCAAAAACGTGTTTTCAGGAGTTGTGCTCCTGTGCAGAATCAGACACGCGGCCAGACATGCTCACATCCCCTCCTCTCCTGTTGCCACAGACCAGTACTAGCATTTCAAGGGTTCTGAGGCACAGTGTCCTTAAATCACAAGTCTAATCATAAATCATAATCATAAATCCAACTCATAAAGGTTCATGACAAGGAGCTGTCAGATCCAAACTTTACTTGCACAGTACAGTATATTGGTTTTATAGAGTTGAAGCCCAAGCTCTTCTTCCCAGGGTTCCTCTCTCCACCACACAAACTAGTGGATTCTTGCAGTCTACAAAGGGAAGCCATAAAGAACTGTTTACGAACCCTCCCCAGAGAGAACAGGAGAAGGTGCAGCTCCAGGTAGGCAGAGATGATTTTGCAGTCTTCTCCCTGCAAGACAAGGTTTGGCACTGCACCCACTACTAGTCTGAGCAAAGGGGGACTCAGGCCTGGCATGAGAGATCAAGGGTGGCCGTGGCGTCTGTTCAGCTCACACACAAGTCTAGGGACAGAAGACGATACTGCAGATTCTCCCCATCCCATCCCAAAACATTCCTGACAGCAAACACTTATCTCCTCTCTGCTCTTAAGGTATTCATTCCCAAACCCGAGGAGCTGCTTTCACAACAGCCCTTTCACACCCTTTTGACCTAACCATTTCAGGGGTCATCCCTGGTGTTTATATCTGGGTTGGAGGGGCTATGGAGGCTTCTGGTCCTCAGGATGCATATAGTTAGGTCCGAGTTACCAGAGAGGCATTAAATGTTTCCAAAGTTGGAACAAAACATGAACGGCTGAGCAAAGAACTCAAAGCACACGCATTTCAAAAGTACCTACTCCCCCTGCACAAACATGATTCCAAATCAAGTAACTAATTCAGATTCAAATTTTGTAGTTTAAGCACAGGGAAAAAATCTATGAGCCCTTATGGCTTTTATGCTTCGAGGCTAGAAAAAGAAGCAGCCAGCATTCGCTACCCAGCACCCGAAAGACTTCTCTTCCCTTTCTGCCCTTGATTGTACATCTTCACAATCTTCAATTTTGTTTGGGGCATAGGGACTGCTTATATTAATATATAAGTTTAAATCAGACTGTGCGGATTATTTTCATTCTTAATGTGAGCTGGTGATGTTTCTTCTTTTGTCTTTACTGTATTTACAAAATTAAAGAAATGTAAAGAAAGAACACTTGAATCACTGCCAGCAATCCTATGGCTCTTTACTTGGGAGTAAATCCCACCGTGTTCAATAGGGTTTTGCTCCCTTTGCGCTGAGGATCTTACATGTGAATCTTGATGAAAGGCTAAGGAGGTTCAGTCATCTCCTGCATCCAATATGCTCCCAACCCGCCTTTATACTTCCTCACCCTCCATACTTTGTGATCACTTGCATGGCAATCTTGGCCCCGCGATATTTCATGGAAGGATAGAATTGTAGAGTTGCATGGGACCCCGCAGGCTCATCTAGTCCAACCCCCCATGCGGGACTCTCTCCCGCCTTCCGCGCCCCCTCGCTTCCATGTTTCTGCTCCGGGCTCACCTGCCGCGGGCGCCGCCTCAGTCCGGTTCCGGCCGCCTCCGGCCACGCAGACCCCCCGGCCGTGCAGCAAGGCGTGCAGCGGAGTGCGCTCGTCGGGGCGGGGGACGCAGCGCAAGCCGGGCGCGCAGCTCGGGGTGTAGACGCCGCACGGCTCGCCCAGCGCCCGCGCGTCGCAGCCCTGCTCGTCGCGGAGAGCCTGCGCGTCCCGGGCGGAGGATGCGCGGCCGGCCGCCGGGGAAGCGCAAGGGACGCCGCCGCCTCCTGGCCGCCCTCCACCCGCCGCCGCCGCCTCGGTCAGCAAGAGGAGCAGCAGCAGCGCAGTCTCCGAGCAGCAAGCCGGGAGCATGATGGTCCGCGGGGCGCCCGGTGCCGGAGCCGCGGACAGAGTGGCTGGAGCGCCGCGCGGCAGCCCTTAAATGCGTGCAGCGCGCAGCGCCAGCCCCCGAGCTGCCGGCCTCCTTCCGCGCCAGGTGCGCAGCCTGCCCGGCTGGAAGGGCGCCAGCCCGCGGGGTGGGGCTGCGGGCGACCGCGAGCTGGCGGGCAGCTGGGGCCCCCGCGCCCCGCCGCTCCAAGGCGAGAGGCTGCCAGGCGCCCTGCGCGGCGCGGGAGCCCCGTCCAACGGCCGGCCGAGGAAGCGCGCCAAGCGCCAAGCGCCCGCTTCTCGTCTGGGGAACTGCCTCCGAGCAAGCCGCGGAAAACCTGCGCGGCGGAGGGCTCGGAATTAGGAACTGGAGGAAAGACCCCGGTTTCAGAATCCCGCAGACAGAGGCGTAGCGGGGGGGGGCGCTTACCGCACCCGGAGGCGCCTGCAGGCTCCGCGCGGCCCGAGAGGGCACCATGGCGCCGGCCTCTGCCCGCCGCCTCTCCCTCCGGCTGCCGCCCCACAGCTGAGCGGACTCCCGGCAGGCTCCTGGCCGCTCGAAAAAGCAACGCGGGCCTGCAGCGGAGCGCGGCTCGGGCCCCGGGATTGTGGCCCGTCCAGCCCCGAGGGCGCCCAAGCGGCTCGCTGCGCCCCTGCCTATAGAAGCCGCGAAGCGCTCTTTCTCGACCCAGCCCACCTCGCGGGGAGCGGGAAGAGGGGATGGAATGGTTAAGTCAGAAGGAACCGTGTTTAGGATGGGCCTGCAAAGCAGCATCCTTCTGCACACTTGCTTCGGAGGAAGGTCGCCTGCCCCACTTTCAGGAACTTATTTCGAAGTAGTAAACATGGACACGAATCTTGCTGCACACTTCTCAACTTCTGAACCTAGGCAGCACGGAGACGCCACGTGCATGCACGTTCACACGCATGGGCGTAGCCAAGGGGGTGCAAGGAGGGCAGCTGCCTCTCCTTAAATTAAGTAAATAATTAGAAATACTTAACTGACCGATTGCATTGCAGATGTCTGGGTTCTTCCCCCCCCCCCATAAAGCCTTCTCCCCTTTAAATAAACACTGGCTACGCCCATGTTCACAGGAAAGTCCCATTCTGTTCAATTAATCATCGGTAAATGCAATAGAAGTATTGCTTTGGAATTCCAGGCAATCAGAATTCGGCTTGGTTTTTAGAAGAAAAGTAAAAAAATAAATCTCGTTCTTAAAGCAGAATATTTTATCAAACATTTCCACATGCACCCACACATTTAACTTTTTTAAATTTGAAGAGTAAAGCAAAGATAACAGTCTCAAGTCGCAGTCAAAATAACTTGCTGCAGTGGAAGAAACCCTGAAGCCCAAATCTAGCCTGTTTTGAAATAAAAGCTAAGATGCAAATTCAGCAATTATGCTATTGGTATTTGTCTCACCCACCTGAGCACCTGGATTAGAACACTGACAGTGCTATCTACTCAGAAGTAAATCCCACAAAATTGAATGGGACTTTCTTTCCAGATAAAGGAGGATAGCATTGCAGTGCAATATTCCCATTTTGTTTGTGGGAAAAACAGAATGAGGAAATTCTTGCCTGAAGTGGGAGTTTTGTTTTCTCATGTTAGAGTACACAATAATCAGCCATCGGGAAATACTGACTTTTATCTGATGATAGGACTGCCAAGTTCTCTCCCCGCCCCCCATGAGCCCCTGTACCTTAAAACATGCAAAATGATCAAAAATTAACAAGAGGCTCTGTTTTCCTCCATGAAAGTTTTGTGAAGTTGCAACTTTCAAGTCATGTGGCAGTGAAGTCGAGGTACTACTGAGCCTTCAACTGTGCTGAATGACTGGTGTGTTAAAGGAGGTGCAGCTTGCAAACTGTGATCAGGAACACTTTACCTATTGGATTTCTGCCTGTTACCAAGCTGTTAAATGCATGGGGTTGGGGAAGAGAGACAGGCGCTTCACCCTGAGTGCTTGTTTGTGGTTATAACCAACCGTCAGTTAGTGGGAATAAATTGCTGACACTAGTAACATCTGAGTGCTGAAGGATGATAATTAGGTAACAGGGTATTACAACCACAAAATCGAAGCATAAGGCTTGAACGAATTTACTTCTCCCCCTTTTATTTCATGCTCTTTCCTCTTTTCCTGCATTGCTCCAGTTCAGCTCCTTTCTCTGCAGTTGTGCAAACCACTTCTCTCCTGTGCCTTTAACATCAGGCTGAATCTTCTGGGTATGGAAATACCTGGCAGGAGCTTTGGCTGCAATCCTAACCATGTCTGTGGGTCTGACTCCCAAATCAGAGGGTTAGGATTGCAGTGCTTGTGTGTCTGCTCAAGGTGAATCGTTACCAGAGCTCAGTTGAGCTTACTCCCGAGTAAATGTAATGTGATGTCATTTACCTCCAGACATGTCCCACTATGTTCATTGGGTCTTCCAGGAATGTGCATAAGACCGGTTAAGACACACTAGTGAAAGTTGTCCCTTTTTAACTCGGGACTTCTGGGTTACCTATTTAGGCATGGGCTGAACTTTAACTGACACCCACTCATTTGTCTAAGAAGGTCAAGGCAGAATACACGGGGTTACCTTGCTTTTACCCTCACAACCACCCTGCGAAGTAGGTTAGGCTGAGAGTTGGAGGAGTCTGCCTCCCAAACTCCTCCTGTTTGACTTAATGTAATTATTTGGGGATGATGTTGAAACTGTTTCCAAACAAAAGCCGGCAATGAGCCAAAGCTTCCCTGCTCAGGGCCATTTTGTGTGTCCCCTTTTTGTGGGGGGAGAGATTGAGAGAGATTGGCTCTTCCTCCCACCCTTAAAATTTTATTCTGTTTGGATCCAGGCAGAATGCTTGGAATACTTAAAGTTTCCAGTCCATCTCTGTTGTGTAATTCAATTGCCCAGCTATTTCCCTTCTTGGCTGGTTCTTTCCAAAAACATGACATCCATCACTTGGGTTGTTTTTGAAAAGTTGCTCTTAAGACTTAGTGTTCCTGCTTGGCAAGCGCTTACAATGTACAGGGGATGAGGAACCCTTACCTGTTCTGTGTGGGGCGTGAATGAAGCTAAGTGGTTAGAGCAGAAGAGAATATCCTTCTGCAGAAGTCTTGTATATAAGAATGTGTATAAGATCTGTAAGAATTTCTGACTCACAATCAATTAGGTTGCTGAAAAAAGAATGTTTGGGGGGAAACCAGGAGTGGAATTTTGTGTGAAAGGATTTGTGACCTTGGTTTCTTTTGGTACCCATCACAAATTCCTGGGGTGAGCTTGTGTTCAGCTGCACCCTGTTCCTGAATTCTCAGAACATGTTTGTCTGCCTGAGTCACTACTTTGCTCCTGGCTTTGGTTGATGGATCTTGGGGTTCTGGTAAAATAGCCAAAGGAGAGCCTGGTGGTCTGCCCACTAAGGGCCATCTAGGTCCGCATCCTCCTTCCCAGTGGCCAGCCAGATGCTTCTGGGGGAAAGCCCACAAACAGGACATGAAAGAAACAACCCTCCTCCTGTCCTTTGTACCTGGCATTTGGTATTCAGTGGAGTGCTGCCTCCAGGGGAATCTTGCAGTCTTCACCACTGATTAAAGTTGCCAACTGATCAGGAAAATGCAGCTTTGGCTGCTTGTGCACCTTCAGGCACCAGTTTGCATAACTTTTCGCAGTATGGAGATTAACTATTATCACCTGTTAATGTTTGCCTGAACATCTGGCTGCTGTTAAAGAAACTGGGACTAGCAAAATGGTAGCAATCCTTGGGAGCAGCACACAGCTGGATTCAGGGAGATAGAATGCAATAGAAGACATGGCTCTAAAATAGGGTTGCCAATTGGCTAGATATCCACCCAGCCGGTTCCTGTGCCTTTTGAGAGGTTTGCTCTCAATAATTAGGGTAAGCTTTTCATGGCATGAAACACAAATCACTTGCGAACGGCTCCAGGTCAAGCTGCAGGCATAACCAACTAGGTGCCCCCCAAATGTTATTGAATTCCCAATTTCCATCAGCCCCAGCCAAAATGGCCAACGATCAGGGATGATGGGAGTTAGAATCACACAACACTGCCTACCCGAGTTAAAGGGACAGCTACAGGAGCCACTTTGAAAGTTGGCAGCCTTGTGCTAGTACCTCTAGTCCAGGTGTCAGCAAACTTTTTAATCAGGGGGCTGGTCCACCGTCCCTCAGACCTTGTGGGGGGCCGAACTATATTTTGAAAAATATAAATACCCTCAAGCTGGTCCCACAGCTGCCTCCGGACCTGGAGGAGGAACACACTCTGCACGCTCTCAGGAGTGCATCTCAGCGGCACCCGCTCACCGGAGTCGTTGAAGAGCAGCAGCTGCTCCACTGACCCATCCCTGTGGAGCTCCCAGGTGGCGTGCTCCACGCGCTGCAGCCTGTCATCCGAGTAGCTCTGCCAGGCGCGGGGCCAGCAGGCGCACCAAGCTCCAGGTGAAGTGCCACAATGCACCCGTCACGATGCCCATGGTGTGGCCCAGACCCGCTGCCCGCCCACCGGCCTCTCCATCCATGGCTGAGCCAGGTTTACCTCAGCTGCGGGTGGCAAGGCTTCGGATTGGCTGCAGGAACTTCCTGCAGCCAATCCAAAGCTGTGCCAGCGTTGTGGAAGTCAGTCCCCGCGTGACGAGGTGACCGCAGTGCGCGGGGACTGACCGAGCAGATGGCAGGATCCGTGGGCTGGATTTACGAGCCTGGAGGGCAGCATCCGACCCCTGGGCCTTAGTTTGCTGATCCCTGCTCTAGTCTTTGTGCAGAGGAGGGAATATTGACAGATACAGTTTGACATGTTGCAACCTCTTGGCAGAAGCGGGAAAAGCTGCAGGTACCCAAATGTTCTCTTCTGCCCAAAGGTCCAGGTGGCTGCCCTTTACTGAATTCAGCCACCTTCTAGAGGCTCTGCAAGGTATATCTCAAATGGATGGCACCCTTTGAAGCTAAAGCTATCTTTCAAACTCCTTTCACTCTGCATGTTGCT